TGCAGGATTTTCTCATGGCATTTTGAGCTTCTACCGTGAAGAAGTTTTCTTAAAAAATTTGAGCTAGCTTTTGTCAATTGAAGACTTATCTTGTCATTTGAAAACTTAAAAACAAATTTTGTTGATTTACACAAAGCCGAGATTGTGGTTGATGGCTTCTTTATGCAAAAATATGCGTTTGGACTACGTTATAGACAAAAATTTAAATATTTTGCATTCATTTTTTTTAATGAAAGAGCTTGGTTCAGCATAGAAATGATTTCGCGTCAATTTAAAACCGTTCAAAAGGGAATCTACAATTTTTCAAAAAATTTGTAAAAACGTTGATTTTTTTATATTTCTGGAAATGCACCTAGCAGCTTGCAGGTTTGCTTGACAGGGATTTTTTTTCTTAGGAAATCAATCCGACTTTTCAACTTTCGATCGTTCAGCCATTTTGAAAATTGTGATTTTAAATTCGTTTTTGCTTAAAGATGTTGGAAAATATATAGATGGTTTTTAGTAGGATTTCCAGGATTGCCTTGCACTCCTTAATTTCCTGGTAGGAAGTCCAAGGTATTTCCCTGGCTATGTAACCCAGGAATAATCCAATCCCAACTATACGAGAGTATTGTATGTGACGATCAACGTAAAAGACCGTGGTAACGCTTACAGAGATGTCTTAGTAGTTTTAGATCCAGAAAATCACTTGTGATGAAGCGCATTAATATAAATGGGATGTGCATTTTTTATACAAAATAAATTTTTTTATGTAAAACAAAAACTAATTCAGCCATTTAAAAGCGCAGACAGTTTGGTTCTTCGTCAGAAAAAGATTTTTTTTGTATACTTGCGTTTTGAAATGTTTCTGTTGTAAAATTACTGAGATCCATTTTTCATGTTCAATTTTTCTAGGGACACAATACTCGTGCATTTATCGAAAAGAAAACATTTCGAGATCGTAAATTTGTCTTAGAGTTTTCACGTCAACTTGAAAAGAATTTCAATAAAACTTTCTCTGACCAATTTTATTTACTTTCAATTTTCATAAAAATATTTTCATAAGGCACATCGCGCTTTCATTTGACGTGTTTTTTTATTCTTCAAGTTAGACAAAAATTCGTCATTTTTTCTGAAAAAAGCAACTCGAGTCACCTGTCCAAGAAATTCCATGCGTCAGATGAAAAATTCATGGCTAAGTTTTTTAGGGGTTGCCCGAGACTTCCTGAGTCGGTTTTTATTTTTTTGTCAGAAACCAGCTAGGCACTGCCAAGTTTTTGCTGAAAAACAAATTTTGCCGAGGAATGCAAACCGTTCCGAAAACGTAATAATGCAGGATTTTCTCATGGCATTTTGAGCTTCTACCGTGAAGAAGTTTTCTTAAAAAATTTGAGCTAGTTTTTGTCAATTGAAGACTTATCTTGTCATTTGAAAACTTAAAAACAAATTTTGTTGATTTACACAAAGCCGAGATTGTGGTTGATGGCTTCTTTATGCAAAAATATGCGTTTGGACTACGTTATAGACAAAAATTTAAATATTTTGCATTTATTTTTTTTTAATGAAAGAGCTTGGTTCAGCATAGAAATGATTTCGCGTCAATTTAAAACCGTTCAAAAAGAATCTACAATTTTTCAAAAAATTTGTAAAAACGTTGATTTTTTTATATTTCTGGAAATGCACCTAGCAGCTTGCAGGTTTGCTTGACAGGGATTTTTTTTCTTAGGAAATCAATCCGACTTTTCAACTTTCGATCGTTCAGCCATTTTGAAAATTGTGATTTTAAATTCGTTTTTGCTTAAAGATGTTGGAAAATATATAGATGGTTTTTAGTAGGATTTCCAGGATTGCCTTGCACTCCTTAATTTCCTGGTAGGAAGTCCAAGGTATTTCCCTGGCTATGTAACCCAGGAATAATCCAATCCCAACTATACGAGAGTATTGTATGTGACGATCAACGTAAAAGACCGTGGTAACGCTTACAGAGATGTCTTAGTAGTTTTAGATCCAGAAAATCACTTGTGATGAAGCGCATTAATATAAATGGGATGTGCATTTTTTATAGAAAATAAATTTTTTTATGTAAAACAAAAACTAATTCAGCCATTTAAAAGCGCAGACAGTTTGGTTCTTCGTCAGAAAAAGATTTTTTTTGTATACTTGCGTTTTGAAATGTTTCTGTTGTAAAATTACTGAGATCCATTTTTCATGTTCAATTTTTCTAGGGACACAATACTCGTGCATTTATCGAAAAGAAAACATTTCGAGATCGTAAATTTGTCTTAGAGTTTTCACGTCAACTTGAAAAGAATTTCAATAAAATTTTCTCTGACCAATTTTATTTACTTTCAATTTTCATAAGAATATTTTCATAAGGCACATCGCGCTTTCATTTGACGTGTTTTATTATTCTTCAAGTTAGACGAAAATTCGTCATTTTTTCTGGAAAAAGCAACTCGAGTCACCTGTCCAAGAAATTCCATGCGTCAGATGAAAAATTCATGGCTAAGTTTTTTAGGGGTTGCCCGAGACTTCCTGAGTCGGTTTTTATTTTTTTGTCAGAAACCAGCTAGGCACTGCCAAGTTTTTGCTGAAAAACAAATTTTGCCGAGGAATGCAAACCGTTCCGAAAACGTAATAATGCAGGATTTTCTCATGGCATTTTGAGCTTCTACCGTGAAGAAGTTTTCTTAAAAAATTTGAGCTAGCTTTTGTCAATTGAAGACTTATCTTGTCATTTGAAAACTTAAAAACAAATTTTGTTGATTTACACAAAGCCGAGATTGTGGTTGATGGCTTCTTTATGCAAAAATATGCGTTTGGACTACGTTATAGACAAAAATTTAAATATTTTGCATTCATTTTTTTAATGAAAGAGCTTGGTTCAGCATAGAAATGATTTCGCGTCAATTTAAAACCGTTCAAAAAGAATCTACAATTTTTCAAAAAATTTGTAAAAACGTTGATTTTTTTATATTTCTGGAAATGCACCTAGCATCTTGCAGGTTTGCTTGACAGGGATTTTTTTTCTTAGGAAATCAATCCGACTTTTCAACTTTCGATCGTTCAGCCATTTTGAAAATTGTGATTTTAAATTCGTTTTTGCTTAAAGATGTTGGAAAATATATAGATGGTTTTTAGTAGGATTTCCAGGATTGCCTTGCACTCCTTAATTTCCTGGTAGGAAGTCCAAGGTATTTCCCTGGCTATGTAACCCAGGAATAATCCAATCCCAACTATACGAGAGTATTGTATGTGACGATCAACGTAAAAGACCGTGGTAACGCTTACAGAGATGTCTTAGTAGTTTTAGATCCAGAAAATCACTTGTGATGAAGCGCATTAATATAAATGGGATGTGCATTTTTTATACAAAATAAATTTTTTTATGTAAAACAAAAACTAATTCAGCCATTTAAAAGCGCAGACAGTTTGGTTCTTCGTCAGAAAAAGATTTTTTTTGTATACTTGCGTTTTGAAATGTTTCTGTTGTAAAATTACTGAGATCCATTTTTCATGTTCAATTTTTCTAGGGACACAATACTCGTGCATTTATCGAAAAGAAAACATTTCGAGATCGTAAATTTGTCTTAGAGTTTTCACGTCAACTTGAAAAGAATTTCAATAAAATTTTCTCTGACCAATTTTATTTACTTTCAATTTTCATAAGAATATTTTCATAAGGCACATCGCGCTTTCATTTGACGTGTTTTATTATTCTTCAAGTTAGACGAAAATTCGTCATTTTTTCTAAAATATACTTTGGATGTTTTTATCGAATAACGAGACAATTGATGATGAAGTTCGTTTAAAAAACCAGGCATAATATTAACTCTCAAAACTCGCTTTATTGCTCTGCATTTTTTGCTTCGTTTGAAAAAAGAGGTTTCGGATTTTTTTTTCTGATCTGTGCTCATTTTTTTCCATCGATCTTCGAATTGGTTTGAACTTCAACCACCTTTTTGATTGATGACGGACCTTTTTAATATGAGTTCAACTAGACGCAATCAATAAAAAGGTGCAGTTTTATGACCATTTTTGCAAATTCGGTACAATTTAGCCTTTTGTGAACGAACGACCATTTTTCTTCCGAAAAAGTAAGTTTTTTATTTTTAGCTAACAAAAGCCTTCGTTTTTAAGCGGAAGTTGTAAGCTATAGAAATCAGTGTCAACTAGTTTAAACAAATTCGTTTTACGAGTTAAGAGCAGCAACAAAAACAGTTTAAAAAATGTGAATTGGCTGAAGACTGTAGCAGCGGAAATGGTAGAATTTTGTTGACATGGTAGTGGTGGCAAAATGCTGACGCAGTTCACATTTTGTTTTACAAAACAGGATGCTCTGCCTTTCAAAAACAGGATATCTGGTTTATTTTCTCCACAAACAAGTGGCGGTCAGGTCTCTTGACGACCGTTTAATCACCTGTTTAAGGTTACTGGGTCAAAAAAGATAATTGCTCGAGCTCTCCTAATTCAAATACATGGAATCGTCAAGCTTTCTTTAATTTTATGATTTCTTACCTTCGATGGTCTGGTAAAAATTGTGAATCAATCTATGATTTAGGGTCGTTTATCCAGAAGCAAAGAGACTAAAAAAAAAGTGATCAGATCTAAAAAATCATAATTCCTGTCTAGACTTAGCTTTCACTATTTCGCTGGCTTCGCTTTTTTGATCTTAAGCTCCCCAGGTTGAGAGTTGACAGGAAAAATTATCGCTGATTCAGAGATATCTCAGTTTTGTAAAAAAAAAAAATTGCGATCATCTAACTAACCACTTCTTAAACTTTGCGGGACTCGAACCGCTAACTTCTCGATAGGCGTTTAACTGTATTCAACAGTTTCAACGTATCAGATAAATGGTGTTTAGTAAAATTTCTGACCATAACACTCAGATGGCTTGATCTTAAATGATGAAACTTTTTTTAAATAGTTGTTGAAACTATTCAAAAAATTCTTAAAGTTAAAGTTATTTTAAAAAACGGAACTCTCGATGCTGTTTTTCGTAAACTGATGACTTTGTTTAGATCGTGGTATGTTGGAGTTCTCAGTGACCTATGACGCTGATGCTTTCACCCTGCAGATAGCCCTACATCGGGCCATAGACCTGCCCCCAATGGACGTGAATGGACTGGCAGACCCCTATGTCAAGCTGCACCTCCTCCCCGATTCGTCCAAAGGTCAGCTAGGTTTGTATCCTCTCCTTACATGTTATCTATTCTCATTCCCTATTTTAGTTCGTTTTTGATAGACCAGTAGATCATTAGTGCGCATCTTATATGCCTATCGTATTACCTCCAATATTGTGCTGTTCGTTGTAAAATAAACGCATATTTTTGAACAAATATTTAAATATCTTGATTGTTGATTTTTTGTCATGTATTATTTTGGAGAAATGAGTTTTTTTTCTTGAGGAAATAGGAAAAAGAAGAAGAAGTTAATTGAATGAATTGAAAAACCCAGACAAGTAGACAACAATTAAATGCTTAGAGAAACTTCCAATTGAGCCTCACTAAATTAGGAAAAGAAAACTTTGAAAATACCACTCTAAAGTTCTTTAGAAGCTCTATAAACCTTTTTTCTGCCAATTTCAGTTCTACAGAACAAAGTAGGTTACATAATTGATTTTTGATTTCTGGTGACAATAGTTTTCTTAATAAAATTGTGAGGGACTTTTTATTCTTATTGCTGAAACAAAGGGATCTACTTAACAATCTCCACCCCTTTCAAGAAAGGGGGGGGGGGGGAGAGAAATTGTTAAGTAGTTCAAAATGGTCGATTTTTCGACCAATCAGAATGCAGCGAAATCAGAATTCTCAATAGAAAGATCAGTGCTAATTTACTGTATTTATTTATAGGGGTGGAGATTCTTTAGTAGACACCATAGGGGGGAATGGGAGGGGGATTGTTAAGTAGATCCAAACAAAGAATCAGTGCAAAACAAAGAAGCATTGGGAAAGGTTTTATCGTAATTTGTACATAGAGTTTTTGCAGTAGAAGGATTGGTTGCAGCAAGTTTATAGAAACACGACTGTAAACAATTATACCATTTTCTATAATATAGGCTTAATGTGTAAGGTCTAGAAAAGCAGTCTTTTCTTCTATGTCTTCTTCTTTTTTCTCTTCTTTTTCTTCTGCTTCTGAATTTCTTTTTTTAATTCTGTTTCAAACCTCTGAGGCTCCTATATTTTTTGCCTCGTGCTTCTGATGAAATTATACCTACATGTCTTTTGAAAGCTCACAATTTGGAATTTTAAAAGAAAAATTGAGGTTGTTCAACCTTTTTGAGATCAACATCTGTGAAAATTAAAACTATAATACAAAATTGAACATCTTTCTTACGAAGCGTCTAATTGGAGATATCCATGCAACACAGGATTCCATGATGATGTTTTCTCTACTTAGGTTGGAAGCCCCTCCTCCCCTCTCGAGAAATTCCTTAAACCCGCGTCTTGATTTTAAAGATAGAAAAATAGTAGACGTTAATTTGGAGTTTAGTTTTGATTTGAGTTTAAGGTTTTTTCTTTTATTCAGCAACGAAAAAAAGGTCCCACACCAAATCCAAGACACTGAACCCAGTTTGGAACGAGTTCTTCGCGTACCACGGAGTCGCGCCCGAGGAGACTTTGACGAAAGTGCTTCGGCTCTCGGTTTTTGATGTTCGGACAGAACGAGTTCATCGGGGAAGCGAGACTTGAGTTGTCGCAACTGAAGTCTCGCGTAACGCAGAGGTTTGAAGTACCTCTCCAAAAACAACTTGCTGTAAGTTGTAAAAATTTTAAACAACTCGCTCTTTTTCGTGTTCTTAAGTTAGATTTCAATCTTTGATTGCGATTTAACAGTTGTTATTGACCAGTGAAAGTGAATAACGGTAGTCTTTAGCTAAGTAAAAATTATCTTCGTCAGCTGAAGGTAGATCCGAATTTTTTTCTCTGGACCAACTTGCAAGATACAAGACTTATTTGCAATTTCATGCCATTCACCACGAAATAAAAAATGTTTGGATGTGCTGGCTTGATGTTTACACAACCCAAAACTTTTAGTTCCATATAAAACTACTGTTGTGCTTTATTTTCATTAGCATTTCGGCATACGAAGTTTATATAGTAATTCAACTAAGTAGAGTTCAAAGTTCAAAATATTTAAATAGGGTTTGAAGTTCAAAAAATGACAAAATTCGAAAGTAGCAGAAATTTTCTTCTAGAACGAAGACATCTACCAGGTCGGTGTGCGTGTAAACTATAGCTCTACAATCTTATTCTTGTTTGATGCTTATCAAATGTTATGCTCAATGAATGTTCTGCGGCGAAGCTGAAATAGCCATTCAATACCCCCCGTTCTTCTCTCGAAGCCGTGTCTCAGAACCTGGGGCCGATTCAAAACTATCGTTTGAAATCTAATTCCTTAAAAATTAGTCATCAAAGAAAAATCTTATCAAAAAAGAAGAAGAAAAATTTCAAGCACAAGGAATCTACTGGTCGGAAAGATTTTCGTTCACCCACCCACCCCCTACCCCCCTCCTGGGAACTTCATTACCGAAGAATGCATATTTCCTCACTTTGACGGGTCCGCCAAATGAATGTTCCCCAAATGCGATGAGCAACCTAACCCACCTGTTTGTTTGTCAATCTTCTGTTATTTTTTACAGTAAAGTTTGTTTGTTTCAGGAAATAGTGCCTAAGGTATTTTTTTAGCCAGCACTTATCAGTTAGTTCGAAACTAATCTTATTTATCTTAGTTCTATATTCATCATTAATCAGTTCGTGATTTAAATAATGAAGTCTCATTAGTTGACAGTTAGTTTCTTTAGTTATTGCGACATTATTATTGGTCTATTGCAACACGATAAAAGAAAACAACTCTTTTTATTTCAAAAAACGTAAAGTGATGGGAAAAGAAATATGACGTAGGGTGTTTTTTATGTTCCAGATTTTTTTTTACAAATTAAAGCTTGTACGGGGCTGCATTCAAACTAAAGCAAGTTTGCTATCATATTCAGGCCATTTCAGGTCATGATTTTGACTCCAACTAATCAAAGTATTGTCTTTGTGTCGAGAAAATTTTTTTCGGTTTTTCAGATTGCAATCTAATCGTTACATTTTAAATCTAACTATTCTGCCACTTTTTAGATGATTTGCCATTGCCAACTAATTCTTACTGCTATTTGACCAATTTGGTATCCCTCAAATTGAAAAAAAAAATTCAAATATATATATTTTTTCAGATTATGGGAGATTCTAAATTGGTCAAATAGCAGTAAGAATCAGTTGACAATGGCAAACCATCGAAAAAGTTGCAGAAAAGTTAGATTGAAAATGCGACGATTAGATTGGAGTCTGAAAAACCAAAAAAAATTCTCGACAAAGACAAGACTTTGATTTAAAATTTCTTTAAAATTTCATCGCAAAAATAAATGAGGTCGAAGCATCGGAGCATTCTGTGCTAATTACACAGCAACCGCTCATATTTTTTAAAATGATCTGTCTTGCATTTTAAAACATTACCCAGCAAAATATGCAATATACATTTAAAAAAAAATTATAAAATTAATTCTCTAAAATTAAATAAAAGTTACCTTTTTCTTGAGGTTTTTTCTATGAGCCAATTTACAGGCAACTTAACTCTTATTTTATCTTTCTCTTTGAGTTAGTAGCCTGAAAACAACTCACTTCTTCATTTGACTTATGTCACATTAGCCAACTTGGCACACTTTTTGACTTTCCTTTTCCACCCTGTTACCCTAGAGCGGTTGTGGCCGTAGTTTCTAAAAGCCATGGAGCTCGGTGATGTACTCGACGCAATGAAGCAACAGAAAATTATGCCATTTCAATAATAGTTTAATGGTATAAAAGCTGTTGGACTTTCTAGCTGGTGGTTCAAATAGAAGTAAAATGACTAAGATGAGCACTTTTCAATAGATATAAGACTCACGAAAAAACTTTGATATGCATGCAATATACCCTCTGAGCTCGAAACTTATACCAGCCAACCGGGGTTTGATTGTCTTTGGGAGTTAACTTCAGCAACCTATTGTGCTAAAAGTTTTTACTCTTGGCTACGGAAATGAGATGCAAACCAAACATTTCTTCGGAATTTTTGACTTAAGAAAAAAAGCTTTATAACAAAAAAGAAGATTGTTCATATCAAGATTAAGACTTGAGTGCTCTGACCTGGTAACAAATTGTTTGAAACAATCAAGTTGTATCAAGTATTTTATGTACGATTTAATCCGCCGCACACACTACGCTACGCGCAATAATGATACCAAATTGACTTTTCATATAACCGATAGCTTCACAAAAAGGTCGCATATAAAATATCTTTTTAATTTTGAGATCAAGGCATCAAAAATTTTCAGATGATATAATAAATTTTCTCAAAGCTGTTAATTGAATAATGCAAATGGGTCTGAATAATACGCAAACCACCCTCAGCATAAAAGGTGATCTTAGGTCCGGGGTGGCCTTCTCATAGAGTAATTTCGGATAAGGGTATACCGTCAGTTCGTTACGCTATCTATTTTCGGCCGGAAAGAATCGTTTAATTTCTCAGTCTAATACCAACTCTTATCTTACTCTTATATTTCCTTGTCTCAATAGATCTAAAGATATACTGGTTTATCGCAAAATTAGAGGAGAGAGGAAAGTAACTGAATTCAATCTTTATTATTAATTCTCTGACAGAAACTAAGAATAGTTTCCTTTACAATTTATTGTACGTTTTAGTCATGGATCATGATTGGTTAGTTATTAATATTTTACAGTGTGAAATATCAAAGTTTAAAATAAATTTTTTTTTGATCTGGTTCCAAAAGTTTCGTTTCCTCTTTTTTTGAAAGTCGGAACAGTAAATTGACTTACGGCACAATTAAAAGACTCGGCACAATAAAACGGTCATAAATTACTCAAATAAATTGAATTAATTAAACAACAAGATTACTCAACTATGTGACAGGATCTTGCGCGCTAAGCAATTATTGCATAAAAGTCTTAAAACAGATCAAATTGTTTTTTTTTAAATTTTTGTTTACAATTTTGGGCTGTTTTTGACAAAAGGGGTTTAATGATTAAGTGATTGGGTTTAATGATTAAGAAGAGTTCTACGATTAAGTGATAACTCCTTAAATAACTTATACCAGTCGTAAAAATGGAGTTTCACTTGACTACCTTATTTGTCTTGGTGCAGATTAACGGTAAATTAAAAATGAGGTTTCAATAGCAAAATGACCAGGTCAACTTTTTTCAAACCGAAAATTTTTATTTTTTTTTGATAACAATTAGGAGTAAAATAGACTCCAATGATATACCATTTTCCTTGAGCTCCCTGTTTGTTTTGTGGCAGCTGAAAACGCCCAAAAAAGAAGAACCACCCTTGAGTCATAGACAATGACTCAAGGGTGGTTCTTTTTTCTTGGGCGTTTTCAGCTGTAACAAAAAACGCCCAAATCTTGCGGCACAATTATCTACCGCTAACCTACCAGGCGTCACCACCCTCCTCCCTAAATCTTCCCCGGCTCATAGTTGCTTGCCAATGTTTGAAATTATTCGGACATTATTTACAAATGTGTTAGAAAAATAAGATTTTCGACTCGAATTTTAAGTCAACATAATCATTGATGATATTATCACTATAGGATACCTTATGGGAAACTGCTGCACCCAGATAACTTTTGCATGCGGATTTCCGGTTTATTATGTCCATCACTGTTCATAATGTTCCAAACAAGTTTGTGGTGAAATTTGTAGAACTACGGTTGGTAGAACTACGGTTTTGTTTGAGATTAAAAACAAAAATTGGGAAACAGTTTTCTTATTGCTGAACTGCTGAGCTCATTGTTTATTGAAAAAAAAAACAAATGACGCCCTTTTAGGGAAGTAGTTTGTTTGCTTTGATCGATTGCAAAAGTTATACGAACTTTTATGGCTTTTTCTGGCATTCGAGATAATTTTGAAATCCGCATCTTTTCTTCAGTTTCTGTAAAACCTTCTCTGGACTTCTGTACTTTGGAACTCCTGTTCTGAAAATTGGAAACGAAAATTGACTCAATACAAAACTAAATATACAAAAAATCAAAACATAGATTTGAATCTACGCTTTTCGTCTAAAATAAAATGTTAGACTATTTCTGTAAAAACTACAAAACATTTTTTCAACGAACATTTGCTTAATACTTTTTGCACCTTTTAAACTATTTTTAAAAAGAATTGACAATGAGATGCCTTTTAATTGTAGTTGAATTAGCATCGTAGAAATATTGCTTATAGGGGTGCGTCAGCCATTGCTGTAGAGAACCTGCAGACACATCCCTGTAACTCATTATTGACTCACATCCGGTGTGTCTGCTTCAGATCCCTATAACTCATTACTCATTATTTTTTTCCTCAATCCTTTTCCGGTAAAATCGAAGAATCGGAATTTTTGATTTAAAAAAACTCAATTAAGGCAATTACCGCAACATTTGTGGTATTTAATTGGCCATGCTTTAAGCGATGACAGAAAAAGCCAAGAGCAATAAGTTAAAAATGAAGTTTTTCTCTCTATATAAAATGATTTTCGTTCGGTTGATTATGGTCTGTGATGTGTCAAATTAAAATTAAAGTTTTTTCTTTCTTGATTCGATCAATATTAAAACACTTTCAAGACGTCTTGAAAAGGTCAAGAAAAATAATTTGAATTTTTTAAACGAATTTCAAAGGATAAATTTTTGCAAAATTTTTTTTGATAGATGTGATTTGATTGTTATATTTGTTAAAAAAGCCATTGATTTTTTTCTAGGCTACATTTTATTCATTCCAACGTACTGGCTAATTTTTCTATTCTGGCTGTCCAATTTTCGAAGAAAATGTAGAACATTTGTGCTAAGGGAAGTTTTTCAGACAAGGTTTGCTTTTATAAACAGCTCGATTTGAACATATTTTTTGTACTATCTGAAATGTCCTGAGCTCATATTTAAAAATATATTTCACCTGTGATACATTTTTTGTCAAGTTATGGCGTTTTGAAAAATGCAGTTTTTGCTAAATTGGGACTAGTAACGCGCAATATAATTTTTCTAGTGACATTCCTTATGATGGAGATACTGACTGATGGAGAAGTATTTTCAGCCAACCAGGATTGCTTCAAAATTTTCAAAAAAAAAATCGTGCAGTTTTTAAATTAAGCAAATAAACACAGCTCATGATTAGAAATTTGATTAAATGAAAAATAGGGATACAAATGAATTTTAAAATTTTGTTCGACTTGAAACACATTGGAAAAAATTTACTTTTTAAGGCATACTAAATTTGATAAAAAAATATTTGTTACCTGCACAAATTCTGTCGCAAGACTTGGGTGTACAGCTAAAAAAAAATTTTCTGCTAATCTGAATTCAAGTTTTTGGCAAAAAAATCAAGCGAATAGAAACGTCTAACGATTATGATCGGTTGAAGTTTTTTCATCAGTCGGTCCATGACTCATGAGAATAGCTAGACCTCATTTTGTTCTGTTAAAGCGTAAGCGGCGACTCAATCCGGCTCTGAAATTGTTCGAAATTATTTGGATCTATTTTTGCGTTGCTAGACGCAAAATCGTCACCATGAGTTGTACATAAATTTAGGGAGAAAATTTTTTTAAAAAATGAAAAAAATGCAATTTAATTTATTCAGTTTTTCTTGTGAAATTTTATCAATTCTTAAATTTCTCGAATATATGACCGTTTTCTTAGACTTTAAGCGGCTGTCAGAATATTTAGGGTTTTGCCTTGATAGACGAGCACTCTTGTTTAAAATTAGTTATCGGTTTGCACTTTTGGTTGTCTTGCGTATAACTGATAACGGTTCTAGTCATATAGAAAAATAATGCATTGGTTGAGCATCCTCCCTTACCTCTACCCCTCCCTATTGCACTATATATATTCGGGTATTTTCTGTTATACGACTTCTTTTGAAAATTTGCGCTTAAATCTAAAAAGATTTGCTGGAATAATTCAAAATCAAAAGAAAGTTTGTGTAAGAAACAATTTTCTTTTCTGGGGACGTATAACAGAAAAAACGTATAAAAGGGAGGTAAAAATAGGGTTGCATTTGTAAATGAGGTCCATAATTTAATGCAACTTTCGAAGCAACAAATTTGTGTTTATTGTGTCTGCATTTGAATCTCTTCCAGCTTGACGTGGAAGATGAGTTGTCCACTGGTGATGGGGTGGGCAAAATCCTGATTGGGGTCATGTACATGTTCAAAGCACAGTGTCTAGTGGTCACTATCAAGAGGTGTGCCCAGTTGAAGAGTATGGACAACAATGGATACAGTGATCCATACGCCAAAGTGTAAGTGTCCTTTTCTACTTAACACGTTACTTGCCACTTTTTGTAGGTCCTTCAATTCTTGAGCACATAAAAATGATTTAAAAAAAGCAAGTTGTAGTTAATCATAAGGATACATAGCAGCAGTTAAGATGTAAAAAGGTTGTATATTGGAATATTGGTCCTTTCTAAGCAAAAAAAGTTGTAAGCGGTGAGCTGAAGAGCTAATGGGCTTAAAAAAAAATTGTTTTCCGCGTGTTTGATAACAGATCAAGGGCAAAGCGATTTCTGTATCGAAAGTTGGAAACATATTGCGCTCTAAAAGATACCCGCCCCCCGCAGAAATCAATCGGGAAAGCTGTTATTATCAACAATAACATACCAACTCCATTCAATTCCATCAATCAAAGGGGTTTGAATCATAGAGAACCAGACAATTTTATTGCTCATTTGTATACAAATTTTTTTCAAAAAACCGACTTAAATCAATCAGTTTTTGAGTTTTATTGAAATAATCTTTTTGGCAGTTGATTAAAATTAGCCCATAAGCATCATAAATTGCTGTGATTTCGTGTAGGTATTTGCGACCAGATGTGTGCAAGGAGAGCAAGCGGAAGACGAACGTCGTCAAAAAGAGCCTCAATCCAGACTTCAACGAGGTAGACCTGGTTTTTAGTCCATTAGGGTTCCAGTTTGGTGCTTAAGCATTAGACAAAACCTTACCCAGCACAGAAAACAACCTTAAATTGCATGTATTTTTTCATCGAGAGCACAACAGTGGCTCTCTCTAAGAAGAAAAGAACAATTCAAATGTTTTGGTTCTTTCATTCGCTCCAGAATTGTCCTAAAGTTGGTTGTGAAGATTAAGGCTGATATTATATGATTCCTACTAAGCTAATGATTCCAATTAATAACAATAAAAATCATAAAAAGAATAAAAATAATCATAATCATAATAATCATCATAACAGTCATAATAAAAAAATCATAACAACCATAATGATCATAAAAATAATCATAATAATTATAATCATAAAATTAATCATAAAAGTCGTAATAGTTATCATAATAATCATAATAACCATAGTAATAAAAATTATAATAACCTTTATCATAATCACAATAAAAATCATAGTAATAATCATAATATTAATCATAATAAGAACAAAAAGCATGATAATAAAATCATAATAATCATAATAATAAACAATCGTTTTAATCATAATCATAACGAGAATAAAAACAAAAACAAAAATGATAACAATCATAATCATAATCATATCATAATGAAATCATACTCATAATCATAGTAAACAATATCATTATGATCATAATAACCATAACATCCTAAATCATCATCATAGTCATAATCACAACAACAATAACGATCATAATAATTATAATAATCATACTCATAATATTTGTAATCTTAATAATAATCACAATAATAACAACAATTATAATCATAATAATCAAGATAAAAATATAATAATCATACTCATCAAAACAATCATAGTAAAAAAAAGAATTATCTTATTGATCATCGAAATAATAATCTAATAATCATAATAATCAAAATACTAATCTAAATATAAATCAAAATCATAATAGTCATCATAATATTAATGATAATAACAAAATTCATCATAATAGCAATAATAATCATTATAATCATCATAATAATAACCATACTAATAATCAATTAATCATCATGATCACAATCATAATCACAAAAATAGTCATAGCAATACTAGTCTAATTGAAAATCATAATAATTATCATCATGATAATAAGAGTTATTATGTGCAACATAATATTAATCATAATAACAATCCTATCCATAACGACAGTAATAATTGTCACAATAACCATAATCATAATAATCATAATCATAATCAAAATCATAATAGTCATTTTCGTAATCATAATAATTATCATAACTTTAATAATAATAACAATAACCATAATCATAATTTTAATGATCATTATAGTAGTCATTATAATCGTTTTAATAATCATAATCATCATTATAAGAAGAGTCTTTATCATAATCTTTAACATCATATTAATAAACAAAATAATCATAAAACTAATATAAACAAATATAATACAAGCAGCATAATATTAATCATATTAACAATCCTATTTATAAAAACAGTAATAACAGTCATAATAATCATAATCATAAGAATCATCATAATAGTCAAAATCATAATCATAATCATAATAAGCATAATCATAATTATAATCATAATCATATTAAAGATAATTTTCATAATAAAAATCATAATAATTATCAAAATCACAATAATTATTTCTATGATAATCACAAAAATCATAATAATCAAAAAAGCAATAATCTTAATCTTAGTCATTATAATCATAGTAACAATCATAACAATCATAATACTAATTTAAATCATAATAATAATGTTATTCATAAAAATAATAATCATAATAATTATCAAAATCATAATCATAATCATAATAATCACAATCATAATAATCATAAAAATCATGATAATCATAATCATCATAATAATTATTATTATTATTATAACAAAAATCATAATAACAATCATAATAGTCATAATTATCGTACTAATGTAAATCATAATAATAATCATCATAATCATAACAATAATAATAATAATAATCATAATAATAATCATAATAATCATAATAATGATCATAATAATCATAATAATAACTATTTTAATTATTATGATTTTTATTATTATTATTATAACAGTAATCATAATAATAGTCATAATAATCATAATCATAATAATAATAACAGTAATAATAATCATAATAATAATCACAATAAAATTAATTTTAAAATTAACAAGACTGCTCGTATCAGTGCGAAGCCCTGAATGTTCCGACTGCCTTTTAAGGTTTATAGAGCAGTAATAACATTAAAAAATTAAATGTAAGAAAAAATAAAATGAAAATTTTTTTTTTCTAAAATTTGAAATTTTTTAATGAAAATCATCCCCCCACACGCCATACAAAGAACAGAAGCATAGATTTTGCTCCTTGTAACAAACCAATTATGGCGAATAAGCTTCTTTTAACCAATTTGGAATGATTTCTAAGACGGATTAACTCTCCGCTTACGCGTTAATAGCGCGAAATATATCACGCGTTAATTGTCCCAAATTGGCCAAAATGGCAATCTTTAAACCCCCATAACTTTACGAAAAATGATCACAGGTGAAATATCTTTTAAAATTTGAGCTCAGGACAACAATACCTTTCGAATGATATAAAAAAAGTTCCGTCAAAAATGGCTAGTTAAAAAGTCGAAATTTGTCTGAAGAAAAAAAAAACCACCCCGAGCACAAATATTCCGTTACTTTCATATCGAAAGTCGGAACAATAATCATAATAATGAATTGTTTCTAGCCTAATTTAGTGATATTTTATTTGAAACAAAATCAAGCAAACTTATTTGACTGACACTAGATTGTCCCCTACCCCTTGATACCTGGCAATGAACCCTACTACGTCCATGCCTTTATGGTCCGACATGTAAAAAGTGCAAAAAGTCAACTTTGAACGCATTTTGAAGTTAACCATAAACTTTTTTATTATAGATTT